CACCCTTATTCGTTTTCACATCTACATTATTTTTACAAGAATCTAATCTCATTCACACGTTGTATTATTAAGGGTGGACATTTAATTTTGATGGATTTTAATCAACATGATTTTATAAGGTTATGTTTTATTTTAAAAATATGGATTAGAATCGAATTAAATCAAGGTTTTTTAAGGATAAAGTCATGTTAGGTTCAAATTTGTGTTAAGTCATCATGAGATGAGATTAAAAATCAAGGATCTCATCTCATTCGATTAGATTGGAAATTCTTCGAGATGATGGAGATTGGAAAAAGGATACTATCTTACTCTACTGTCCCAACATATATTTTCTCTACTTTAAGCTCAATGGTTTGCTTTTCATGTGCTGATGGTTTTTCCAAAATTCTTGGGCTAGTACACACGTTTTGGTTAGTAGAATTTTTCCTGCAGCACTAGAACTACAGTCGGAATGAACCGAGTAGCAGCTGTTATGAAAATTTCAAATTATCATACATTTTAGATTCTTTTTCGTAGTACATAAGATTTTGTGTTCGTCCTCTAACATTGTACCGGATAAATTCTTCGAGAAGATGGAGATTGGAAAAATGATTTCTGGGCTGTCATTAGATATCTCAGGCATGCCTCCAAGTATAATGAAGCCCTCCAGGTTCGTCCGTTTTCGCTCTGTCTCTGTTTTTTGAATTATACAATCCCTAAAGCTCAGATTTTTACTAAATTCGGAATGTTGCTTTTAAGGACTCGTTTTGTCTCTGAGAAAATGATGGAAAATAAAGTTATGGTTGGAGAAAACACGCTAAATATAGGCTTTAGAGTTGAGATTTTTACTGAAGTTTTGTTTCGACTCTGAGAAATCTGTCTGGTCAGTGAGAAAGGGATGGAAAATGAGAAGTTTTGAGCTGGAATATGGGTAGGAAAAATACATTAAATATAGAACATGGTATGTTTTCTAGCTTTCCAATTTGATTACTCTGAAATTTTAGAATTTATATATGCGTGGGCAAGTTTTTCATATGTGGGAGAACATGGATAAATCAAGAATAAATGGACTGAACATGGCAAGTTTTTCATATGTGGGCAAGTTTTCTAGTTGTTAAGAGTGGGAGATTAAGATTTAAGATGGAAATGGTTTTAGGTTTTAAGAAGAAGAAGACACGTGGAGTTTTTAGGAATTTTTTTAAATTTTTATTGTATTTATTATTTTTAAATTTTCATGTCACATATCCGTTAAGGGGTTAACGGCAAGAGACTTAAACAGGACGGATCGATAATTTTAGGGATCATTTACCTTTAATTTTTAAATTGATGACTAAAATTGGTCATACCGAAAACAAGAGAGACTAATCTCATAGTTTACCCTATAAATAATTATAATTAAATTTAAATAAAAAATCAGACGCTCAACTTAATTTCAAAAATTCAATTTAACTTGAAAATTTTCAAATATAACTTGAATCATATTCTTTTAACTGCACTTGACTGAATAATCACCCTATTCCATTGGTATATAAACACACTTCTTAATGTTTCAATTGCAGAAAGAATTCCTTAGGCTAATAACATGCGAGCCTGGACCCATTTATAGAAAAAATGGCTGATATACTCCATAACCGGTTTGGCTGGTTGAAATTAACATGATCGGATTCGGGCCAAATAATTAAGAAACCCACCCTTAAAACATCAAAAATCAAACATACCCTAAACTGGATAAGTAGTTTAGATTCAATCACAGAGTCCACTAAAACGAGTTCATTTCATCCAAATTGCGGAAAAAATCCTTAAACGATAAAACATTCCTTCCTCTTCTTTGTCGAAACATCGCGCGCAATCTCAGCACAATATGTCCGAAATATGCATCAACGAACGGCAACAAACAAGAAAATCATCGTAGACAGAATAGGAGGAAAGAAGGGTGTAAACATGTATTGTGCATCGTGAGAAGCTCCAGCTGTCGGGCATTATGCACGACGAGTCTCTTAAACCCGTTGGGAAGATAGTGGCTCCGAGCCCCATAACCAATATTGGGCATCAAAGTACATCCCTTGAACAAAATGTTTTATTACACTTGTCTGAGGGTACGTTTGATGGATTATAATTGGTTTTCTGAAAATTGTTTTACGTAAAATGGATTATATGAAAATTGGTTTATGTAAAATCAGGGGCGGATCCTGGGGGTTGCCAGGGGTAGCACAGGCAACCCCTCAAATTGTGAGGAACATTGATCAAATGTTATTATTTTAGTATTTATATATATATATTTTGTGATTTTTAGGTAGAATCTCTATATTTCAGTAAAATTCTTATAAAAAAAATTTATACAACAAAATTGTCTACTTAGTGTTAATTTTTTCTATTTTTTTTAATTAATACAAGTGTCACCTTTAATATTGTGCAACCCCTAAAAAAATTTATAAGAATTTTTTTGTGCAACCTCTGAATTTTTGTCCTGGGTCCGCTCCTGTGTAAAATGACTTACATTTTCTACAAAACAGTTTTTGGAAATTATTTTACAGTATTTTGATGATATTGTGTAAATAATTTTCACTAATTGTTTGATACACTGTAATTAATTTTATAAAAAATAATTTACATAAAATGAATAAAGTTTGGTTCGATTAATATTTTTAGAAAAAATTGATTTGATTAACGATTAAAGAAAAAAGTTTAGTTAAATCGGTTAATGATAATTCAATTCGATAGGTGACTTAATTAACTGTTTGAACACCATTAATTTTAATTATAGTATTTTATTAATATAATACTAATTTACTATATTAATATTAAATGCATAAATTAAATTACTCATTATTAATAATTTAATAATATTACATTTATACACGAACTAAGCAACTTCAATGGTAAAAAAATTGTTGTTGTTCCTTGATGTCTCGAGTTTGAGCATCATAAATGTCAGAGGTATGAGCATTCAATATTAAATAGTTAAAATTTATCTTTGAAAATATATTATCTTGTACTTATCCATAATTAATAAAAAATATTATTATATTTATAAGAATAATGATAATATTAATTATATGAAAAATTTATTATATATTACTAAATTAAAAATATAATATCATATGTTATTATAATATATGTACATATTAATATAATATTAAAAATATAATATTATTAAAATTGTATTATAAAAATATTAAATATTTTATTAAAATATTAAATTAATATTAAATAAATAAAATAGTATTTTTAAGCATTTATACTTTGAAGTGAAAAGTTAGGAAAATATTTTACGAAAACTTATATGGTAAAACATTTTACAGAAAATACAAATGAACTAAGAAAATGAATTATATCGAAAAAATTAATTATGACTATCAAACATCGAAAAATATTTTTTGTAAAACCAATTACAATTATCAAACATCAAAAAATATTTTTATCAAACACAAAAAAAAAATAAAGAAAACGTTTTCGTTATCAAACACACCCTACACTAAGATCAATAAAAAGAGCCATAACCAAAGGTTAGAGATCCGAATCTCACTTCCACTATGGAACACGGCTCGCTGGCTAAGAAAAGCCACTCAACTCAAAATTCAGGAGACCTAAGCCCTGAAAACAATGTCCCAGTCCCAGTCCCAGTCCCAGTCCCAGTCCCAGTCCCAGTCCCAGTCCCAGTCCCAGTCCCAGTCCCACAGTAGCATCCCCAAACATTATTTTAAATTTGAAGTAATGAAGCTAAAAAATAAGTGATAATGTGCATCCGGCGAATCGAACCTCGGTCAGTGCAGAGGAAGGGTACTATGATAACACAGCAATAGATGTGCCTAGACGGTATGCGGACAAAAAGGACTTGGTTTTCAGTGGAGAAAGGAAATGAATAATACTTGACATTATTTCTGACTTTCTTAACATAACATGGATCTTCCTTTAAATAACCACAAATTATATCTCTGAATTTTCTATATAAAAAAAACCTAAAAATGACTCGGTAAGTATAAATTAAAATCGAATAATTTATTTTACATTGTACTGGATAAATTAATCTCTAAAATAGTTACACCTGAAGATTTAACTTGTTTACACCAATATTATCACCTATGTCTGCAGCACATGAATGCGAGACCAATTTGTGAACCATCTTCTAACAACTTAAACTACCTGAGTACTGGCAGAAGACCAGTTGAAGATGACTAGAATTCAATGTGACACGAATTAATTAAGAGATATTGGGGCTTAGGGTCAAAAGTCAAGGGCTGCAAGATTCGTGTAACAGATGTCATCTGCAACATAAAGCATGGAAATCAAAGAGTGTATCATTATTAGGTTCAACTTAAAGGATCTTTTTTTTTCTTGTGACAAAATGTCCAGAAATATAGCAATGTATGCAAAGAATACCGTTGATGTCCTTGGAGGAATATGGAGATAAGCCCTTGAGGAATCAAGGGGTAATCTTTTCCTTGACAAAGGATACTGTCTTACTCTACTGTCCCAACATGAATTTTCTCTACTTTAAGCTCAATGGTTTGCTTTTCATGTGCTGATGGTTTTTCCAAAACACCTTGGGCTAGTACACACGTTTTGGTTGGTAGAATTTTGCCTGCAGACAATAGAACTACAGTCAGGATGAACTGAGGAGCAGCTGCCATGAGAATTTCAAATTATCATATATTTTAGATTCTTTTTTGTAGTCCCCTAACATAAGATTTTGCATTTGTCCCTTGGTGTAGCTGAATCCATCACCAGCAGACCAAAGCCCCCGGCACCTCAATTCTCGTTTCTACCCCCACCCAAAATATCAACCTAATCCAAACCCTTTCCTCTTTATAGAAAACACAATGGGCATTTTTGTAACTCCAAAAGTCTCATGTGTATACTCTATCCTCTTATGCCCATCAATTAACCACAACTCTTTCTTTACCCCCCTTCTCTGTCTCTCATTTCATCCTCTCATATATATATATATATATATATATACTGCCCTACAACTTCATATTCATATTATATCAACCTTATAACTTGGCAATTCCAAAGGAGAAACAATGGCCAACCTTAATGTAATCTTCTTAAACATTCTATTCTTCACCTTCTTCCTTGCAGCAAATGCAATTCAAGGTCAAGATCACTCCTTTATAATCAGTATCGCATTTGTTTTGTTTTCATGCTTATGGTTCCAATTTTGCAGGATCTAAAACAACTCAAGTAATATTTCCTTGGCAACAAAGGGTCTCTTTCTCGCCTCCATGGGAGTTGCAGGTAATGATTTCAAAATCCCAGCATTTTGCTTTTACTTTCCAGACTTCTTTCTAAACTGCAACATTCTGAAAACAAAAAAAGGGTAGCAATGAAGGGAAGATGAAAAGAAATTCAAGGAGATTGATGATTGGATCCACAGCACCTACCTGCACTTACAATGAATGCAGAGGATGCAAATACAAATGTCGAGCCGAGCAAGTTCCGATCGAAGGAAACGACCCGATCAATAGCGCATACCGCTACAAATGTGTTTGCCATAGACCATAATTCAAGTCTGTCTTGCATATTAAGAATTTTCCTGCTAGTTGTTTGTCTTGCAAGACAAGAATGCTGTTGGCTTGTGTGTTTGGATTTAGGTTGTACAAGGTTAATGTAAGAGCAAATGAAGTAGCATTTATGCCTTAATTTTGTTGTTCCATTTTTGTGCAACCAAGCTTTCGAGTAATGGTGTTCGGAAGTAGAAGATGATGTCTGGGTCTGCAAGTTGGAACATGTGGAGGCGGTCCCAAATATTAAAACATAAGCCAACAAAAACATTTTACAATCATTTAATGGCAGAATTGAAAAGTAAGAAAGAATCCAGAATGCTCATGAAAAATAAACAAGGGGGAGGGCCCCATTTTCCGAGTACCAACATTTATAAATGCTTCATTATAGTTTGGACGTGGTCCCTATACCTCCGCTTAGTACATTTAGCTGCACATTCATGAATCACCTTCTCCTCCATAATTTCTAATCCTAAGAAACATTTAACTTTTCCACAACTCCGTTCTTGGAAGCTAGATAATACCTTTAAGATCAAATCGGTAGTCTTTCAACAACTTATTCATATTTTCTACTCTAATGTTGTTTGTGTTGTTGACGACTCTCTAAATGCCACCGTTAGTATTCGCTCCTATCTCATAGGACAATACGTCCACATTGATGTCGCTTCCATAGTTAGAGATTTAGGAATAGAGGTCAAGGGCATAGACAATAAAAGTGATATTGTTGAATCCCTTTATAAGATTGGTCATAGTGTCTGTCGCGGCCGTCTTTCGGGTGGGTCCGAAATTGGGTTTCGACTTGGAATAATGGGTTAGAGTCGCCACCGATCATTTTAAAAATATTTAGGTGGATCGGACACCATCTTACCTGATCTTCGTTTTACCAGAAATGTGTTGGGTTCGGGAGTCGGTTACAGACAAGGAATGATTAACACCCTTGTACTGCCCTTTTGGTACCAATTAATTTGTCGGTTGTCTTAGTTGCGAAAATTAAAAAAATTAAATTTAAATTTAAAAAACCAATTCAAATTACTTACCTTTGACCGAAAAGAAAAAAAAAGTTCAAAAGAATGTTAGATTGAATAAATAAAAAAAATAGAAACTTATAGGACTAAAATAAAAAAAAAACATTTAAAGGACTAAAATATAAAAAAAACAAAAACTTAAGTGGCTAAAATAGAAAAAAAAAACAAACATTTAAGGGACTGAATTGGTATTAACAGAGACTATAAGGACCTAATAAATAAATATAAATAAATCAAAACCCCAATAATCAATTAAAATAAATACAGGGACCAGAAACTAAAATAACCCATAAATAAAATTTATAGATTAAAATAAAATAAACAAGAAACATGGAGGACTAAACAATAATTAATCCTAAATGCCAAACAGTGACTAAAATTATATCTATATAAATTACAGGGTCAAATTTAACATAGTATATAAATTAGTGATTGAAATAAAAATAATTAAAATTAGAGGCTCGAAAACACGGGTGAGTTAGGGGGCAAAATGGCAGCGTTTTGTATTATATATAAATATAACAATTAAAGCCTTAAACAAGCCACATCTCTCATTTGCTTCATTTGCCAGACAAGAGAAGAGAGAGAGAGAGAGAAGAAATTCTCTCAACTTCCCCCTCATCGGGGAAGAAAAGCTACGGCGGAGCTTGTAGTGGCAAGCGACGGTGATCGGAGATAGAGAGTAAGTTACCTCGAATGACTCATGTCTACTTTCTCAACCCGAAAACCGACCCCCACAACCTAAATCTGACCCCAAACCCATAGATCTAGGAAAACATATGGCCTTTTTTTACCTTCGATGAGGCTATTCCTCTCTTCCGACGAGATTTACAACCACCACCAACGACGAAAGGTAAGGCTTCTCTCTGTTTTTTCCTTTTTTTAAATTATTTTTTTGCGTAATTTGCTTCGAATCTCTCAGTTTTTTCCTCGGTATTTCTTGTGCTTACTCGTACTCCTCTCTTGGTTATGCTTACATCTATTTATAGCCATAAAAAATCTATATTTAGTGTTTCCTATTGGAACTAAAACACTTGTGTTCGTTGCTTGTTGGTGAGGTTGGTGTCGAGAATAATGCCGGGAAACTCGAGGGCCTTGTTGACTGAGTGGTTGCGAGTGGGATGGATCTTCCCTTGAGTGTTTGGAGGCGCGGTGCCTGAGGAAAATGATGGATTAGGGTTAGAAAACCCTAATTGATTCGGGTGAAAAAGTTTGGTCGGTTTGGGTCTTGAACCGGTTCGGGTTGCTTCAGATTGCATTCGGGTTGGACTGTTGGGTTTATTTGGGGCTGCTGGGTTTATTTGCACTGCTGGGTTTGTTTGTACTTGGGCTGGCACCTTTGTAATGGCTTTGGGCCTGCAAAATAAAATAACCAGAATAAATATATTGATATAATATATATATTTATACTATATAATATACAACATAACAACAACAACAACAATAAAACCCTGATTCCCATATGCAATGGGGTAAGGGGAGGTAGGGTAGTAGACTGACCCCAACGCCAGGTTGAGAGCAGCTTCCGTGGAAGATCTCCGGCAGTCAGAAAATTAAAAATAAAGATAAGATGCAAATGCGTGTATAAATAAATAAATAAATACATAGATGAACAGTCTTCATATGCAGTCTTGATATGTGCGTCTGTAATGGGGAGTAATCCCTATAAATAATTCCCTGCAAATAATTCCCTACATAGAAATCTCTGCATATAGACTGAAAATGTAAGACCCAGCTAAATTTAAAAAGAGGAAACATGAATAGAAATGATGCACAGAAGTCAATAATAGCAAGCTACGAGAAGGAATAAATTCAAATGAGTTAATTCTTAAACTAAGGCAACACTACTCCGATACCCTAGTTCTAAGCCTTCATACATTTCAATGACAGAAACATGTATAAAGTAGAAGTCATGGAAAGTACTACAAAGACATTAAAAAGAATACAGAGATGTTACACCCTATGGCTGTGAACCGCACTACTCAACTACCTTGGTCTTAAGTCTCCATACTTTCCTATCGGAGGTCATGTCCTCGGTAAGGGCTAATTCCTTCAAATCAGATCTCAAGCAGTCTTCCCACTTCCGTCTTGGTCGTCCTCTCCTTCTGACACCGTCGACTGTAATCGACTCTACCCTCCTGACCGCATCCGACGGTTGTCGCCTAAGGACATGCCCAAACCACCGTAGTCTTCCCTCCCTCAATTTTTCGGATACAGGCACCACCCCCAAGTACATCCTAATAGCAGAGTTAGGTGTCATATCCCACAGAGTCCTACCACATGTCCATCGAAGCATTCTCATTTCTGCGGCCTCCATCCTCCTTACGTGATCCTTCTTGATTGCCCAACATTCTGATCCATACAGCAGCGCTGGTCTTATTGACATTCTATAAAATTTTCCCTTTAGTTTTAGAGGCACCTTCTTGTCACACAAAACTCCAGTAGCAGCCCTCCACTTTAGCCATCCCGCCTTTATACGGTGTGTAACGTCTTCATCTACACCCCCATCTTTATGTATCATAGACCCTAGGTACTTGAAACAATCATTTGAGGGGATAATGTGTCCTTCTATGCATACTTCTACATCTTCATCGTTTTGGTTTCCACTGAAGTTTGAACATACATAATTTGTCTTTTCAATATTGATCCTTAGACCTTTTTCTTCCAAAACAGTCTTCCAGGTAGCAAGTCTACTATTCAGCTCAGTTTTTGTTTCAGCAATTAGGACAATGTCGTCAGCGAAAAGCATACACCATGGAACACCGTCTGGTGTCGCACAATAGATGTCGTCCATAATCAAGGCGAAGATGTAAGGGCTAAGAGCCGACCCCTGGTGGAGTCCGATTTCCACCGGGAATGCCTTGGTGTTGCCAACTGTAGTCCTGAAGGTAGTAGTAGATCTACAGTACATATCACGAATCACCCGGATATAAGCAGTTGGGATCCGTCTCGTTTCCAAGGTCTTCCAGATCGTATCGCGGGGAACGCTTTCATAAGTCTTCTCAAGGTCAATGAACGCCATGTGAAGATCACTATTTTTTCCCTATATTTCTCCATAAGTCGTCGAAGTAGATGAATTGCCTCCGTAGTAGACCTGCCTGGCATAAAGCCAAATTGGTTTTCTGAAACCCTAGTAACCTGTCTCAACCTAGCCTCTAATATACAACATAATATGCATATATTATACAATATAATACACATATGTTTATACATTAATTATATAACATGAATTAACTTATAAATGTTATATAGTAAAGTCAGACGAAAATATGTGTCGGCAGTGTCAATACCCTAGACATTCATGAGCGTTTCTTGCATCTTATTATCACTTGGTGGTTTCGACCATCTGGGAGAAAATTCTCTAACCTTCACACTGTAGATATTTGGTGGATCCATTGGTTTCAAAACTCTAATCAAATAAACTTTCCCCAAATCATCTTTGGCAAGCTTGTCGACGTCATTAATAATTTTCAATCTAAGAAATTTGATACTCTTGTTTATGGTTGCATTCTTAGTCATATCTTTCTTAAAGCTGATATCAATGTCTCTCTAGATCCTCTCCATTCCACTATCCTCCTACGTTGATATTAAATCTCTTCAGAAATTGATATGGGAAAAGATTGGGACCACGTGGACAATGAAAGGGAAGCAATCCCTAGTCTCTACCTCTGCTTCTCCTTCGCCTCCGGACGATTATCCAATTCGAGACATCGATGATCGATGAACCGCATTCCTGTCGATCTCCCTTCAGTTGGCAGTGAGGATGCGAGTGCAATTCCACCTTACCTTTAGACGTTCATGGAGATGATGGACATGAGGTTTGCTACCATAGAGTCTCACTTGACTAAGATTGGTGCTCAACAATTATCTTTGGAGGCGATGTATGTATACTCCAAACGTGATCTTCATGCTAGATTAGACACAGTGACGGATAGGATTGACACTCTTTCTTGCGACTTTGCTTTCTTCTGCGCTCCATATTCGGATCATTATCTTCCTCCGTCGGACGCCTGATTACTTTTCGTTGATTAATTGTTTTCTATCTGCTCATATTCGATCTTGCATTTTGA